ATGGTTTGTCAGATTGTTTGCATCATTGTGATGCCATATTCAATATTTGGTGATTCTCAGATTTTTGTGTTTAATCGTTATCAATTAATCATTATTTTACGTATCTCTAGAATCGTTATTAATCTCATGTTGAGATAACGTTTTTAGAGTCTTCTACTCGCACATTGAGAAAGAAACGTCGTAGATTAAGATGGATACGTTGAGATTTGAAAAATTAAACGAAGAAAATTAGGAAAGATTAAGAAAGATAGTATTAAGTAGCCGGTAGATTTAAAGATGTGCGCCGCAGTTTGATTTATTAGCTCAACCAGGCGATTTTCTATAAATGATTGAGAACCACTGATACACACTAGCTGAAAATTATTTTGAAACGATAATATTTTGAGAATGAGTAAACACGGAAATAGATCGCTAACCTCAACCAATTACAAATTTCACCGTAAGTATTGCCAACGGGATGTAAACAAACGAATCGATCCGAGTTGATCGTGGATGATAAGCCACCAATTATGGTCATGAATGATGACCTGACCTTTGACCCCATCTCAACACTGAAACTCCACTCCGTTGACAGTTTATCATCGCTTCGATACACGTATCCAATTAGTGTGCCTTTGCCACCCTTAATTTTGTTATTTGATTACCATTTTAATATTTATTATGTTGTTATTATCACAAATAATAAGTGAAACGTATACCGTGATTGTGAGGTTTAGATAACGATTTGATTTGTCATCCATTTGGATGGAACCGTTGAAGGATTTGAATTGTGATGAATGGTGGACTATTAATGGTCTGAAATTCATTGTATTTATCAGTATTGAATGATAGCAATGGTATTGATAACGACAGCAGTGATATTGAGATATTCATAAAACCAGCCTGATATCAGTGTTAATGGTGAGGTGAATGGCGGTGCCTTCAGCGTGCACCACCCGAACAGAGCGTCGATCATTTGCAATGCTAATATCCTCCACCCAACTCTCATCATCTACTGGAAATCCCAAATCCAGCTCGCTCAAACCTTCATTCCCACTGACGAAATATTCCAAATTGTACCGAGTCAAATATTTCTGTCCTTTACAGCTTTCCACCGTTATATGCTAAAGGTTAGTTGATCTTTATTTTAGCACAAGTCAGCAGTTTCATTATAAAATTGCAAATCGCTCAAAACGAACATGAGCCAGTCAGGTGATCTGCATAAAAGATCAGACAGAATAGCGCTCACGAGGACAACATATCTTTTTAATTTGGTAAGAGTAACCCAATTATTTGATTGAGTTATTCGGAAAAACGATAAATGAAAGACAAACAGAGGTAAGTTTTGGAATGGAGTGAATTCGTTTAAGAAAAGGCAATGAAGATAGATTGGCCAACGATGATGGTGCTCGTATTGAACAATAATGAGGATAAGCAAACACCTGTGAATCAGTAATTTTAATGATGCCATTTCGTATAATCCATTTCCCGTTTTCGTTCCTCATCCAACCCAGTTTATGAATATCACTTTCAGATGGTTCATTCAGTCTAATCCCAGTCATTAGCATCTCGATTTCATCTGAATAGTAGTACATCCCAGCATTCATCTCACGTATCACTCGACCTGATGTTACTCGAATCTCGATCTGAATCGTTATTATTTTTATATAATAATAGTAATTGCAGTAATTAATTGCAATAACAATGATAATATTTGCAATAATAACAAACTTTCCGCCGATCGATCGATTCAATGATCGCCGATCCTTTATTGATGATCGCGTCGAACTCGTCTGAGGATGCTTCAATCCAACGGTTTGCTATCCTTTCATATATTTTATGCTTTAAAACCACTATTGTGTCTGGTTGATTCAACTTTATTGCTGTATACATCTTGTTCTGTAACTCTTATTATTGTTATTATTATTGATAATATTATTATTAATATTATCAATATTATTATTATCACTTATATAACATTACAATTATGATATTCATTAATAATAACTCACGTTATATGGTTCAATAGCGACATCACAGCACACTTCACTCTTCAACGATTGTGTCAAACATCCGGCATTTGACTGATGCGCATGATATGTTCGATAGCATATTGAGCCTTTTGTACAATTCCTTAATTAATCATAATATTAATTGCTGAACAATCATTATAAACGGAAAATACTAAGAAGAAATATTGGTAAATGACTTAGCAAATGACTGGAAGAAAACCGAACTTATATCGATAAGATTCAACAGTGCAATACTGTTCAGCACCAGCACAGTCACAAATACACGAGGAGATGATTTGAGGAATAGCGAATTTGTATTTTGCTACAATTGGAAATTGTTGTTCCATTCGAACGAATTCGATGGTGTGCAATTGAGTGGTTGATGAGGACGGGTTTGAGCCTGACCTCGACCCTGACTGAAAAATTATTTTAGTCATTCAACCATCATTTAAAATTGATATTGTCTTCTTGAATTAGTCATCTTAATTTGAAACGCGAGGAAAACGATTGGCCGTCCGTCCGTTCGTCCCAAAAAGTAACTCATCTTTTAGTCTTTTTTTGTATTTTTGATCATGAAACAATAGAAATACAATAGAGCAAATTGTACAACAGAGCAAATTCGGAAGCTATTCGCTTATTGAATGATTATTATGTATTCGATTAGTGTAATGGTAATAGTAACCGTGAAATTAAGACATAAAGTCTCCTTCAAAGTCAATTCAGCCACCGATGAGCTCTTGGTATCGACAGTTTGTCCGTTATCACTCATAGTTTGGATATCACCCTGGATGGCTGATATCCGGGTGCAGTGGATGTCAATCGAGGATAACACTGCGTTGTACAACAATATTCCACTGATTGTTATCAATACCCTCAATTATGTATTATATAATACAAATACCAATGAACACATATTGACCACATAAGAGTTCATTCTTNGTCCACTAAACAGTACAAATCCTTTGATGGCTATCCAAGATTTTTATTATTATTATTATTATTGTTATTATTATGAATATTATTATTATTATCGTTGCTGTATATTCAATCGTTACCACATTTACTCACACAAATTGATCAGTTCATATAAGATAATTTGATTATTCATATGTCCAAATCGATTCATTGAATTTATTTCAATTGAATCAAATTTATCAACTTCGACATTCGCATTGTTTTATCTGAATTTAATTAGAAGTTATCAACTGAGTAGAAGTTTATGAACGAGATAAGCACAGATGAGCATGGATCCGCTATTCGTTAATCATTTCGTTATTGTTGTTTATTCTCCGTTAACGAGTTAGCGATTGCGTTAACGAAAGTGATTGTGAAAGTTAGCGGTTGCGTTGAATTTGAGATAGTCAACAAAAGTGGAATCGGCGATAGTTCTCGTTTTGGTAAACGAATAATCGAATATCATCGTGAAGATTCTGGTGAACTCGAGATAATCATTAAAGTTGAACGGTTGAAGTGGTAATGATGAATCGAGACGAATACAGAATGGCATAAAATTGAAATGAAATGGAACTGTGATGGGTCAATGAGAAATACTTAAATAGTGATTTATTGCGTTGTATTTCAGTTAATTAAGATTCATTTTCATTTTATTGAAACAGATATCTTAGTCGAGAAATTTTTCAGTTGAATGACCTGTCATAATGAATTAGTTTTAACACCGAAAAATTAGTTTTTACATTAATTAGTTTTAACCGTTTGTTCGAGGTATCGCGCGTTTGTTTTTTGACACCTTATACCAAGTTACGATTACATCATTTTTTAAATACCAAATATTTGGAGATCTTAATTGACTGGTAATAGATGCTAATTTAAAGTTAAAATTTGACATTTAAAAATTATTTCAATAAATGAAACTATCAAAGTATTGAAATGATACAGCGTGAATGATTAATGCAGCACCGAACGCTGCACCATCTGTCTATCTATGCAAAGGAATGATCGCACTTGCGTGATCATAATTATAACAACAATTATTATTAATGAACATGAGATTTGATTAATAACCTACTTACATAATTGTCTTTAATTGATTTCAATTCCGATTTCAATTAGTTAATTGACTGATTTAAATTCATATGCACTAATTCTTTTAAAATATTCTACTAATTTACAATGTTTCTATGAGGAGCAACTTTTTGGTCGAGGACCTGACTAAAAGACCCCTTCACCGATGGGGAAGGAAATATGACTAAAAACTCGGGAAACAAAACTATCGAGGAATAAATCCCATTACGATCCTCATGACTAAACGAATATCGCTTCATACTTGACCATTGTTTACAATAGTATTTTACACACCTTCTAAAATCGCTTGCAATAGCAATTCAAAATAATCTCTGAATTAAACTTCATAGTTGGATTAAAACATTTAATCTAAAGGGTTTTTCAAATAAAACAATGATCAAAGAAAACAAAACCTACAGAAAATGATCCTTATCGAGTACCTTTAAAGGGATTTATGAAAGCAGATAAGTGGATGATAGAAGTAGATCAACCAACAACATCCGATGGACAGACTGAGATTGTATGTATGATCTATTCTATTCTACTGCATATGGCAATGATTTGCGATATGTCTGCATAAAGATAACACCTCGTTTATATATGTTCATATATACTCCAATAAAACTCTAGTACAACTCAATAAAGCAATTCTATAACGATGTAATAACACACTTTCCTGTGAACGAATCTGACCAACCCTCAATACCGTAATATAGCATTGGGATATATTATCATTATCACGTAACTATATCGACTAAGTCTGATTCTAGTACAACGATAGGTCGTGTCTACTATACTGGCGCTTCATAAAACTCAGTGATACTGTCGGCCATCTACGACAATTTGTGATTAGTGATAAATTATCCGTGTTTTCTGAATTCTATGAGCAATAAATTGTGATTTTTACTCTGTTATCCATAATTTACGACAGATCAGTTCGTATGCTTTAAGATTTAAGAAGAAATCACTGAATTTCTTAATCATCATATTAATTTAATCTACATCGTAATTACTAATGAATAAATAAATTATTCTCAGTCAAATAGAAATAATAAGCAATAATAACACTAGTAACAAATAATTTATCAGCAGCAAATGATTAGTCAGTAACGAATAATAATTTTCACGTAATAACTATAATAATAATTCGTCAAACCTTCTCATGCGATATCTCAAGTACTCGACATTCTGTGAGAATATCAAATATGAGCATTTCAATACAGTTTCAAAGCAAACCGTTTTGAATTGTNGATGACTTACTGGCATAAATGATACTTCACACATAATATTAACAATAATAATAATAACAATGGTAGTAATAGTAATAGCAATGGTATAAATATTAATAATAGTGGTAAAATATTGTGAATGATTAATTCAAAGAAAATATGTGCATTTGATTTCAGTATTTTGATCAAATGAATGTAGTGAAAAACATGGAAAAAAACTAATGAATAATTGAAAATTCACATGGTAGTGTTTGGTATTGATATGGTCGAATATATTATAAGAAATGAATAAATAAAATAAAAATATGACTAATCAAAATTCAGTTATGACTAGAGTGTGGCTGAGTTGAGTGGAATTTTTACACACTGAAAATGTGGTTCTCATTAGGAAACATCTCATTTGTGAAAATTTTATTTTATGATTTCCTAAAGAAAAGAAATTTCCTTTAAGAGTTCATTACTACTTCCTGGAACATATGTTCACAACCGTTATTGCATTCAACTAATTAAAATATTAAACTAAAT